GTGCACTCTAAGATTAAGAGAGAAAACGGAGGACTCAGGCGTCCTGATGTGAGAGAAAACGGACTCGTATGACGAGGGACCAAATAAAAAAAGCATAGCTACATGTTTTGTGGACTACAGTATTAAGCGGACCGTTTTCATCACTGTAATAAACCTAGCCATGCCTATGTGTGTTTATGATATTTACCATAACATTATATATATATTTAGTGGGTCTAAATGGTCGCAAAATGGGAAACTTGGGGTTGGGTCTTGGGTAAATGAACTAATTAGAATAAATCACATAGGTTCTATACTTTCGTTATCGGCGGGGTCCCAATTAGGCGCGATAACCAAGGGATGACTGTACTGTATATACTTGTGACACTGGCCAGTTGCTTCTGGTGTTATGGTACAGGGGTACCAAGTGAGCACTAGGATCCCGCTTCCTCTATCAAGGAATAAACAATTAAAATTTAAATTGAAAAAAAAAAAAAAACATTCATATAAATTACTATCTTACAAGAATCCCTCCAATGTAAGTTATATTCACCCAGGTCGTTTGGGTGGAAAATTATGAGAAGAGCTTAGTCACTCTTAAGTAATGATAAATAAACACGCAGGCAGGCCTTCGGCGCCAATTGTCAAATCTTATCTCAAATAAATAAACAAACAAACGGCAGACATTCTGTCACCTCCCCCCCCCCACCGTCTTCCCACCACCCTCGTGTTCAAGATAAAAGATTGGTGATTTCTTTATGTTTATTTTATATAATATCTCAGACTAAAGTAAGGATAATATAATTTGCATTGCTGAAATCCATGCAAGACAGAGATTAATTTGAATATAAATGTCATATATTTTGTTCAAGAGATAAAAATTGTTGTACATTAGTGTACAGTACTGTAGTACATTTTATAAAAAAGTTTTTCAACTGTATTTTTGGGTAGATTTAATTAGATTTCTTCATTTGTTTTCATCCATTTACATGCACACACCATACTAAAAGATAACGTAATAGAAATAAATGACGTTAGTGCAAAGCTGGAGTGCACATGTACTAATTTGATCACGGTTCTAAAATTAATCAGTATGTTACAAGAATCCCAGCTATGTTAATTATATTCACCCAGGTCATTTCACTGGCTTTTTATAAGAGAGAAGCTTAGTCACCTAAGAACTGATAAATATACACGCGTTAGGCCTGGGCCTGTGCCAACTGTCAAACGTACTACCTCCCCTCCCCCCTCGCTCGCTCCCACCCTCTCCCCCATCTGCTCGGCGTTGCTGGAATCCTTGTAAAACAGTGAATAATTTTAATATAAACGTCATGTATTTTGCACAAGAGATAAAAATTAATCACCTGTATCACATTACAGTAGTGATTTAACAGTAAAAGTGTATATGTACGTATATAGTATTCCACATACACAAAGTATAAATAAAAAGTTTATGTGATGATCGGACAACGTCCATTTCGGTTAATGTCACGTTTCCAAGAACGTATCTAGGACGTTAACCGGCGCATGACTGTAATTTAAGGAGATCATGAAAATAAGCAAATATTTTATCTTTTGTGCAAAATATATGAAGTTTACATTCAGAATATTCCCTGACCTGCAAGGAATCCAGAAATGTCAATTAAATTATCCTAATTTTAGTCTGAGGTATTATTTATTACTAAAAATGTAAATATACTGTTTTCTCCCAAACATTTCTCTGGTAGGGAGGGAAGGTGGAGGGTGGGGGGTAGGGAGGGGAGGGAGGGACCCAGCGAGCGTGGGAAGAGGGGGGAGCGGAGGTGGGGTATTTTGATTGACAGATAGTGTCTGGGTGAATAATAATTTGTTTATTTACTGAAGATATTTGTTTCAGCTCATAAAATTCATACAAATTACCTGGCCAGAATATAATTTACATTAATGGAATTCTTATAAGATTTTGATTATTTTAAACATAAACATCATGGAATTTGCATTAGACATACAAATTTTAGATCTAATTTAAGAATTTTGATTACAAAGCCAAAATTTTATCTTTTGTGCAAAATATATGACGTTTATATTCAAAATATTCCTGGCCTTGCAAGGAATACAGCAATGTCAATTATAACATCCTAACTTTAGTCTGAGGTATTATTTATTACTATACCTTAAAATCTAGTGTTTTCACCCAAACATTTCTCAGAGAGGGAGGAGCCAGCGAGCGTGGGAAGAGGGGGGGGGGGGAGTTGAGTCCATTATTTGAATGGACATTAACCTGGCGACTGTATTTCTCTTAAATATTAATTGTGTGTGCATACCATCATAATACTAAGATGTTATTTTTACTAAACGTAGGTATTATAAGGTATTATGTCGGTATTGTGTCGGAAAAAGTGGAGTTTGGGAGTCGGCCCAGTTTCTATTTCAATTAATCCCATATGTTCTGATATTCCATTTACAAGTTTCTCGTTTTACGCGCTACTCTGCGGGTTCAATTGACCGCGTAAATCGGGGCATTACTGTATAGTATTTTTTAAAAGCATAAAAATAAAAATAATGATAGATCATCCAACTTTTTGGAATTTATAAATCTATTACTTCTTATTTCCATTCATTTGAATTAATGCATTTTATAAATTTTGAGAAAATGGCCCAAGCTATTAATACCAATACATACAGTGATTGCACACACCTCCAACATTTATTATATTACATATTCTTGTATGATCAGCCACTTATGGTGTATATTTTATCATTGATAATATAAAATATTAAATACTGTGCTATAACATGTACAGTATTACCCCGCTTTACGTGGATTTTTTTTACGCGTTTCCACGTTTACGCGGTACCCTGCCAGACCCGGAATGCTCACTTTACGCGGTGCATGTACTCTTTTACGCAGAGAGCGGCGCGGGCAGGGTGCGCACAAGGTCGCCCAGTCATCAAAACATTACCGAGTTCTTTATCCGCCACCCACCACAGCCGGCCCCAGTCAGTGATAGTGATAGTGAGGATATGGACTTATAAGGACTTTGAGGGGTTTGACAAAGAGGCCCTGCAAGTCTGTGGTGGATAATGATACAATTGATACAAGTGATACAGGTGAGGGCCAATAATCTGCCCTCTGCCTCGGAACCAACCCCCCATCCCCGTGTGCCCAGCCATCTTTTCTACTAATGTAAGTGTTAAAAAACCTAATATTATTGATATTTCTCTTAATTATTAATTGTGTGTGTGCATACCATCATAAAATTAAGAAGTTATTTTGATTACAACGTAGGTATTGTGTCTGAAAAAGTGGAGTTTGGGGGTCGGCCCGGTCTCTATTTCAATTAATCCCATACTGTATGTTCTGTTGTTCACTTTACTCGTTTCCCGCTTTACGCGGGCCTCCATGGGTTCAATTGACCGCGTAAAGAGAGGTTTCACTGTATAGAAAAATGACGAAATATTGCGTCATGCTCCCGGGTCCTCTGTGGTGGAGGTTTGGGGGGCGAACTGACTGCACACCCCCCAAAAACATTCCTGCCTCTCCCCTACTCCTGCCATTCTTATTGTAAAATGTTTTACTTTGTTTATTAATTATTAATTAATAAAGATATGTTTATTGTAATAATTTGTGCTGAATGTGTTTAATATTTTATATTAACCACAATAAAACATACACCATAAGAGGCTGATCATTGGTGAAAAGCGGAGTGCCAGTCCCTGCGTGAACCTTGCCTCCCTGCATCCCCCCTGCCTCTCTTCTTGCACCTTGCCTCCCTGCCTCCCTCCAACTCACAGTGTCTCACACAAAAGACTATAAACTAAATGTTGTGTGTGTATGTATGATGTGTTGGGGTATTAATTAATGAATAATAAACAATATTGTATTGTTAATGACAGTACAGTAGTTTGATGAATAGTAGTGACAACTGTAGTACGCTGTTATTCTTCAAACGACTGTCATTGACGATACAATATTACTTATTTATTAATTAATACCATAACATCACACCCAAACACCCCCATATTGTATGACATAAATTTATGCATGGCTAACTAAGTGGTGGTGAATTAAAGATCAGCTGTTGAGGAGCTAAGCGCTTGGCAACACTGGTGCATGTTACCACTCCTTTCCACTCCACCTCTCTAATCACCCACACCTTTCTGCTTTCTCACTCAACATTTTAAATCTTATGTAACATAATGTTGAAGGGATACAATGTGATAAGTGTAAGTATAAAATCTACTGTATTTTAGCTTTCATGTTTATTCAAGACATCTTCAGGTCCCCTACCCGACAATGGGTGACCTGACATTGTATCAGGTCAGTAATATGAGACCACTAATACCCCACCCTACCTCCACCTGACATTGTGTCAGGTCAGTTACACAATACCCATGAATCCCCCACAGTTCCAAGGGAGTGGAAAATACCAATCCTTGCTGTCACACACAGCTTCATTCACGACCATATCATATAGCTTTTTAGTTTAGACTCTTGGAAAACTCCCCAGCACACAGAAACATTCTGAGGATGTGGGCTAGTGTTTTTCTGTGCAAGAGGTATAGTTTAGACCAGGGGTCACCAAACTACGGCCCGCGGGCCGGATCCCAAGTCCTTCCCCGGCTCGTGGTAGCTCCGCCTACGTTCTGACGTTACCAGAGCTTTCGTTCTGGCTTGCAAGTATTGAACAGAATGATTATGCGGCCCGCGCTCGTCATTCTTTCAGTTATCCGGCCCACTGTGAAAAAAGTTTGGTGACCCCTGGTTTAGACACTCGGAAAGTTTTTTCCAGTAACTGGAAATATTTCCGGGGATGGGGGATTTTTCCAGGTTTGAGAAAGTCATCCGGTTAGCCGGAAATCTCTCATCCCCGGAAGTCCTCTGCACCAATTGTTTCAGCTAACGAGGATATCACTGTGTATATATATATCTTCAATAGATATCAGTGTCAAACTCAATGGATAATTTATGCAAATATACTTTTCTTTTCATTAAATGAAAAAATATATAAGTACTTGTATATAAAATACAGTATACAGACCTTAAGAAGCTCAAGATCTTCATCAACATGGTTTGGTGTTAAGCCATTATAACGGCCTGCTATTCGCAACACTGTGTATACACTCCCAACTGCTTGAGTTCGTACTTGAGAACAAGGATCCGTCAGTCGAGGAGTTAGGAAAGCTAAAAGCTGGCATGTTTGATTGAAGTTGGTTGGACCCTGTGGTGGGAAAAAAAATCATGTTATTTTTCAGATGATTGCATTCTAATAAAATAGAACTTAACAAACTTTACCTTTGCCCTTTTACCTGTAATTGTGTTTTACTCAACTTAGACTACTGATGTTTAAATCCTTTTCTGCACCTATAATAGATTAGCTTATGGAGAATATCCTCCATCATTGTATGGAATAGTTCATTTTTTGTCACTTATCATTTCTATTCCTCTTAAGGCATCTGTACTGTAGTTCCTCCTTATGGAAAAACTTTTTATCATCAATTTCACTAAATCAAATATTTCATACCCACACTATTACATATGGGATATTCTGCATGCTGAGTGGCATGATTGTGATAGTGAACTCATAAAGCAACTAAGGTTACCTTGGAAAAGAAACTTCTTATTTAGTCCTGCATAAAAATTAAAACTGAGTGAAAATAATCAAATTTATTGTTGAGAATGGAGCACCAACATTTTGTCCTGACCAAAAATAAATATACAGCAGTGATAGCCATGTGATGCCTGTGATTCACCAACCATAGTAAGAGCAGCTAATGAAGTGAAGGAATATCACGATTAGCACACAGTGGCACACAAATTAACAAAGGAAAAGCGAATGAGTAAAAATAGTGACTTGTGTCTTACATGCGGCACCAGGTCAACGTGCCATCAAGTCAGAACATTAAGAGAAAAATTTAATGTTTAAGACATTAAAACATAAAGTTATAATTCAGGGTGTAATATTAACACTGAGTGAGTTAGTTTATTACAGATATATCTGTGATTGATGCCCAATGGGTCAAGCATAGGCCATACTATTAAATCAGGTGAATATGCTTGAGGAAACTGCTCTTTCCTTCAAACAAGTATCAGCTCAGCTCCCTAAAGTAATGCTTGATGACTGAATGGTGCCAATGATACTGCCCTACCAACTTGAACCCTACAACTGACCCCTAGCCATCAAAACTACTGTAAAATTACTAACCTTAATGTGACACAAACCATAACTGGCAACAGTACAAACCACCACCTACAGTGCTACACACCTCCCACGCTATGCATCTCTGGGGGAAATTGACTATCACCCATACACACTGCATAAACTGGCTTAGGCCTCGGGTACATTACACTCAAAATTTGCCCATCCACCACCAATACAAGGATAGCATTCCTTATAAGTGAAATTGTTTTCAAGGCCCTTCTAGAATACAACAGGTGGCACATCCAACATTCACCAGCTGATGGACATTGGATTTTCTATTTGTTTCTAGTGCCTTTTAAGACAAATATAAAGGTGACATAAGCTACAAAATATATATAGAAATTATATTTAATGTTGACCATTATCACCAGGCAAAGGTTGCACCTACAGGGACAACTACACAATTACGTACTTATATCTAAAATAATATCCAGTAACTCCCTGTTTAGAGAACTTGTTCTTTAGGTCTTAGCTACTTTTACTTGAAGTAACATGAAGTAAGAGTACAGTACTTCTACTTTTACTTGAGTAAGTTTTTCTCAGAGTATCAGTAATTTCACTCATTTAATTTTCCAGTACTTACTGGTTACACTTCAAAAATGTGAACATCAGTTATCCAAAAACTCCAAAAATCCGAAAAAATTTAGTTACCTACACAGGTAGAGTTTGCCAAGCTTCCACTTTAACACTGAATAGCAGGATAAGAGAAATGTGGCAACAGCACACATACATGTGTGTGTGTGTGAACATATGAGTGTCCAAGTATTTGAGTCAGAGTGAATGAGTTGTGTTGCCTTATCACTGATAAAGGTAATAATTATGGCTGTTGTGTATGATAATGTTTGAGAAAGTCATAATAAAACCTTAATGCAATAACTATATACTGTAGTAATAAATGATAAATGTTGCAGTCACCATTTCAATTATTCCAAATGAATGAATCGTTATATGGCAGCAATATGTATAACCCCACTCTAGAATTTAGTTATTTTACTACCACATTTAGAATGGATTAGAGGGTTTTATGCACTCAACATGTGTAACTTTATATACTGTAGTACAGAATATGTGCTTCTCTTGTAAAATAAACCAAAACCAATTTGTGGAACTCTACTCCTTATATAAACTGTCTCCAGACCAACATTAGAGGAGGTGAATGTAGTTACCAACAATTATTTCACTTCATAATTTTAAAATATTGGGTACCGTATATACTCGTGTATAGTTCGAGTTTTTAAAACCAAATTTTTAGGCAAAAAATTGGGGGTCGTCCTATACATGCGTAATAGTTTTGTTAGGTTGAACCCGTGCATGATGGGAAGGGCGAGGAGCAACTTTTAGCTTCAGACATGAAAAATATTTACCATTTACTGCCAGTAAACAATGGAAACGTAAAATATGTACCAATTAGTAATGAAAAGTTGTGCAGTTCCTTCAGCAAATGATGCTCACCAACTTACAATATGCTAAATTACCTTACAATGTACTTTCAGTAGTCTATGTTGAAGTTCTTAGCACAGGCTAACTTATCATATCATATACAATACGGTATCACAGTTCTCATTGATCTACAAAAAATACCGGAAATAAAAACCTTTTCGATATTTCACACTTAATATAATACTCGGTAATCTACTTCAACCTCCTATTGTTTACAACGACGCATGATCAATCACCAGCTGTTGTGTGTATCAGTTAGACGCTACACGTGTTTCTCGAATCGTTTTCAGTTAAAAAACTGTTACATCACATGTATATTTTACCTTAACTGTGCCTGAATGAATATATTCTCGGAAATAAATAGTAGTTTTGCTGAAACGCGATGTATTTCAATGTAAAATAGGATAAAATACATGACGAAAACAAAAGATTTTACCTAACCTTCCGATGTTCAAGAGAAGTTACTCGTTTGTTTAATGGTTTTTGGTTAAAATATTGTTATATTACAATGGTATTCTATTCATACTGTGCTTGATATAATGCATTCACGGAAATGTAATATTTTTGCTGAAATGACGTAAGTATTACAGTGGAAAGTGGGATAAAATCGTGACGAAACCAATGACTTTCACTTTTTTTCGTTCAAAAGATGTTACCGTAATCGCTTTTCGAATGGTTTAGTTAAAAAACTGTTTATTACAATAATATTCCCTCGTAATTGACTTGAATAAATATTTGAATGGAAATATACAATATTTTTGTTGAAATTACCCGCGTTTCAGTGTAAAGTGTCGTAATAATAAATGGTAAACAATTTGCCTTCGGCACTCGTGTTTCAGGCACGGCCAGTCTCAGTTTATAGGACGTAGAGCGTTTTTACTGAAGGTTTTGTTGTTCCATTACCCTCAAAAACGTGGGTCGAACTATAAACGGGGAATATAATAAATTAATGATTTCTTGGTCAAAAAATCAGGGTCGACCTATAAACGAGGGGGGTTATAGACGAGTATATACGGTAATTACCCACAGCCATTTTTGAGCTGTACAGGAAACTTTTAAAATATATACAGGTACTCCCCGACTTACGACGGGGTAAGGGACCGACATCCAGGTCGTAAGTCGAAATGGTCGTAAGTCGGAAATGCTTAAATAACACATAGAAAATCTAAAATGGATGTGTCATTTTCTTCTCAGCACCACAAAACTCTCACTTTTAAGCTTGCCAGCCATTTTAAAGTGAATTACAGATGAAAATTTTGTCTGTGTAATGACTTTAGGACTCAAAAATACATAATTTGACCAAATTTTGGTACGACTGAGGCAGGTCGTAAGTGCGGGTGGACGTAAGTCGAGTAGGTCGTAAGTCGAGGAGTACCTGTATTAAGATATATACAGTACGCCAAGCCGCAAGCTGAACTTCTAACCATTTCATCTGGGTCGCTGGATATTTAAACACCCCACCCACCTGCCTGACTCCTGTTTGAAAATTCAAATTACAGAATATAGTAATTGCTGAATTTTATAATTTGATCATTTTGAATATAAAAATATTTTTAAAACATACAATTTTAGATAAAATGTTTAATCTGAGTAAGTATGTTATCTTTTGTCCAAAATATGACATTTATATTCAAAATATTCCTGGTCTTAAGAATCCAGCAATGTCAATTATATTATCCTAACTTTAGTTTGAGGTATTATTATTTAGGGTTATCAATCTGGGACGGGTGGGGGGGGAGGGACCAGACCACCATCTGTTGTAAATTATTTTTTAACTGAAGATATTTGTTTTAGCTCATAAATTCTCAATTACGGTGAATATAATTTGCTGAATTTTATAATTTGATATTTAATAAAATTTTTGATAAAAATTTTGAAAAATGTTTAATCTGAGAGATGTTATTGTCCAAAATATACATTTATATTAAAACCCAAACCAAAAACAACAAAAAAAACCAAAACCCAAAAAAAAAAAAAACACAACAAAAAAAACAAAAAAAAAAAAAAAACCAAAAAAACAAAAAAAAAAAAAAAACCAAAACAAACACACCAAACCACCACACAACGAATGACACTCACCATACCATCAAAATTAAGATATTTTACACATAGTTTTTGTCAAAAGGAGTTTGGTGGCCTAATAATCCATTCTTTATTCATACGGTTTAACCGACCCGTTCAATTGACGAGGCAACTGTACACTGCTCGCCATTGCATTATGCGCGGGGGGGCTGACGGGAAGTTATGTTGCGGTAAATGACTCACATCCCTCCACACCAGCCAGCTGTGAGTGGGGCAGGCATCGTACATCTGACAGCGAAGGGAGACTCAAGGGCAAGTGAGCTAGGCATCAAAATGGCCACCAGTAGGCAGCTATCAAACAGGGAGGTACTACTGCCTGGGAAGATATTGGAAGCATAATGTGTTGTCTAATGGTAGACCCTGCTGCCATATGGCATCACGAAAATTGTGACCAAGTCCCAGGTTGCTGATCTGACTTTCTGCCTCATTTACACACAATTGCAGGGTCTCAATTGTTTCTCTTACTCTTGACAACACGACATACATACAGTTAACCCTCACTTTATGCGGTTAATGTAACCCGGAGGGTCCCGCGTAAAGTGAGAAACGCGTAAAGTGAATAACATAACATATGGGATTAATTGAAATGGAGTCCAGGCCGATCCCCAAACTCCACTTTTTGACGACACACAACTATGTTGTAGTAAAAATATTATCTTAACTTTATGATGGTATGCACACACAATTAATAATTAAGAGAAATATCAATAATATTAGGTTTTTTAACACTTACATTAGTAGAAAAAATGGCTGGGCACACGGGGATGGGCGGTTGGTTCCGAGGCAGAGGGCAGATTATTGGCCCTCACCTGTGTCACTTGTATCAATTGTATCACTATCCACCACAGAGGCTTGCAGGGCCTCTTTGTCAAACTCCCCAAAGTCCATATAAGTCCATATCCTCACCATAATTATCACTATCACTGACTTGGGCCGGCTGTGGTGGGTGGCGGGTGAAGAACTGGTAATGTTTTGATGACTGGGCGACCTTGTGCGCACCATGTTCACGCCGCTTACACAACATGGCGGATGGCGGGAGGTTTGGATCCAAAAATGGCGCGGCTCGCCAGCCGCTCTCCGCGTAAAGGGGTACACGCACCGTGGAATGTGAGCATCCTGGGTTCCAGCAGGGCACCGCGTAAACGTGGAAACGCGGAATGTGGGACCGCGTAAACGTGGAAACGCGGAATGTGGGACCGCGTAAAGTGAGGGTTAACTGTATATCGTTTCTCACTCTTGATCTTGTTTTTAATTTTTGTATTTATTCATAGCTCTTTATTATTATTATTATTATTATTATTATTATTATTATTATTATTATTATTAGTGTTATTATTGTTATCATTATTATTTTATTCTTTTAATTTCTAATTTTTTATATTTTATTACTTGGTATAAATTTGTTTATTATGAATTATAATATTATTATTATAATTATTATTATTGTTATTATTATTATTACATCTTCGCTCCCCAGGCTCTGACGTGGGTCAGTGACCTGTGCCCGGGTGGGCTAATCCCTGTAAAAATAAATAAATAAATAAATAAAATAAATAAAAATAGGAATGTGATGATGAACCAATTTAACTACTTGGAGCTTTTTGTGATTATTTGCCCGTCACGACCCCGCTCATAATGAAATGGCGAGCAGTGTAATTTCTCTTTGGTCCCATCATTTAATTGCGAGGATAGAAAATGAAGATTTTACACTGAATAATTTCTCCGTGAATGTGACGGCAACCAATCACACATACACTTGTGCTGTTGCCACATTTTTCATACCGGTTAAAGGTGTAAGCTTGGCCAACTGTATATAAATAAATAGCTGTACAGTCGGCCCTTAACATACGCAGGTTTAACATACACGGATTTGCAAATACGCGGATTGCCGCCGGAGGAATATACATTCAAATCGCGCGCGACACCACACACCACCCGCCACGCCACACACACGCACACGCACACGCACACACACACACACACACACACTCACATTTCGCCCGCCACGCCATCCTGCGTTCCCACGCTCCCTCAGTCAGTCAGTCTCGCTGTAACCACGCTTGAGTTGACATCAGCATTGTAGTGGCTACCCACATTTACCATGGGAAAGGGAAAGAGGATGAGGAAGAGCTACAAGAAATAACGCTGGAGAAGTTGGGGGAGATGATCAGGAATATTGAGGCACTGAAAAACCTGGCCTATGGTATGGACCCCTCCATGGTGCGTGCCCTGAAATTCATGCGAGGGATGGATGGCGTTTTTGCTCCATACAAAAACACCATGGAAGAGATGAAAAGAAAGAGACGACAACTCCCCATCACCATGTTCTTTGATCGCCGAAGGAGAGATACAACACCATCCACCACTGGCGGCAGTGAGGAAGCAGCTGAACCCACTGTCGCCCCCACTTCACCACCCGTAATGGAAACGAGTGACGATGACCCCGATGACCCCCCTCCTGTCGCCGAGGATAGGTACGGTACAGTAAAGTGAAATTTTTATCTCTTTTTTTTTAGCTTTTCTTGCCATGTTTATTGTTTGTAAAAATGCACAGCACAGTACAGTTCAGTACTGTACATAGGAAGTGGAGGTGCAGTTATTCACAAAACATTTGTGTTTGTTGTCGGCAGTAGTGACGATGTGGAGGCGGAAGGATAGAGCGGGGACGAGTGGTGACGCTCTGGAGGCGGGAGCAGGGACGAGTGGAGATGCCAGCCAGTACATTATTTATTGTTTTTATAGCTCTTTTTGCATTTTAATATTAAATAAAGTGTTTGTAAACATGTACATAGTGTTTTTCTTTACTTAAATAAGAACAAGGGGGCCAGGGGTGTTTTTAGGGGGGGGGGGGCAGCAAAAATACTCGGATTCTTAACATTCACGGGTATCTGTTACCTAACCCCCGCGTATGTTAAAGGCCGACTGTACTGCAGTAATATCTCCAATAGCTGGAATCCCTCAAACATGGATCTCTCCAAGAGCCGGAATTGAAATTTTCTCGGAAAACCGTTCCCAAAACCAGAATTTTCCCGGAAAATTCTGGCTTTGGGAAAATTTTTCGAGGGGCACATTTTCCGGAAAATTCGGAGAAAATTTTCCCGATACCCAGAAAATTTAGGAAAATTCCGGGGATGGGGGAGTTTTTCTTTCCGGGTTTAAGAGATAAAGATCAGGCAAATTTTTTGGAAATTCTGGGGATGGGGAATATTTTTCCGGCTTTGAAAGAGTCGTCTCATTACCCGGAAATCTCTCATTCCCAGAAGTGCTCTGCATCAACTGTTCCAACTAATGGAGATATCACTACAGTACAGCTCCTCCCCGACTTACGACCACCCGCACTTACGGCCTGCCTCAGTCGTACCAAAATTTTGTCAAATTACGTATTTTCGAGTCGCAACGTTAGTACACAGACAAAATTTTCGTTTGTAATTCACTTTAAAATGGCTGGCAAGCTTAAAAGTGAGAGTTTTGTGGTGCTGAGAAAAAAAAGAGACGCCCATTTTAGATTTTCTATGTATTATTTAAGCATTTTCGACTTACGACCTGGATTTGGGTCCCTAACCCCGCCGTAAGCCGGGGAGGAGCTGTACTTGTCTTTTGTAATATTATTAACCTTATTTATTATGTTACTATGTTTAATTTAATAAATATTATTTATTAGGTTATAATTATTATACAGTATTTTATTTGGTGCTTAGAGAAATATTATTATTTTTTATTATGGCCTTCAGTTAACCAAAAATTTCAGTTTTCTGAAATGGCTTTGGGCCCAAGCATTTTGAATATTTGAAGTGCAACCTGTACTTTGTCCACCACTGGCTATAGTTTTAGTTTTAGGAAAATTCTAGTATGAATGAGAAAATATACATGCACTCTCTATCATATACCTTACACTTCACTCTATCTCACCTCAATTGTGATGTTCAGGTGGTCGTAATAAGTTCGTAGTGCTGCATGGAGAAGTTCTACTGACTTAATTCTGATAAGTTCAGTAGGGGCAACTGTCCATGACTGAAGTAGAGTTGTCACATCATCTAGGGTGGCAGGATTAGTGTCCTTTTGTATAACCGTTCTGTAAAGTTAATAAAACCAATAAAGCTACAGTACTTCCATAATCAGATATACAGTGTAGAATCTTGTTATGGTATCATTGTCTCCCCTACTACACATCTGCACTGCAACTTTTAGTTATCTAATCCTTAATTGGCAGCTAAGCAATCCCCAATCACTCCTCCATATGTGCAAAATTGGAACAAAAGGAAATTGAAACTTCTACAACTTCTACAAAAGATAGCTGACGTACCTATAGCTAACTTCCATCAATGATGATTACCATTTAAGGTTAATGTACCAAATTAAAAACAAAATATTCTAGAGCTTTCTCATTCATCACTGGTACTGCAACATTAACCCTCTCAGCCTCTCACGATGCCATTGTGGCGTTGAACATAAAAGGCGAAACAACTTACGCTCAGCCTCGCGACGCAAACATTGAGTCCAATGGGCTATATTTACAAATAACTCAAAAACTATTCAGTGAAACTGACTGAACTTTGGATGCCATTTGACAGATGTCGTTTTCTTTGTGTGGGCTATATTACCTTCCCAAGATGGTCTTGGTCATCGTGTGCATGGCAGCGCAGCATCAAGCCAGTGTTGCTCTGGTCATTAGAGTGAGAGGAGGGTGTGCCACTCGGCCCTTTAATTATTCCACGACTTTTTGTGTTATATTATTTTCCTCACTCCACGATATTCTACATGCTGTGTTCTTTATTTTGGTATACGTATAGTACATATCAATGAACACCATAATACAAGGAAAATGAGAATTGAAATCAAGATGTTACTAAACATTTTCCTACTTTTTCAACTGATACTCAAAAAAAGTGGCTTAAATTTCAAGAATTTTAATTTTTTTATGGTTTCATACAATTTTTCAGAAAATTTTATGCTAGAAGAGACCCCAATACAATTAATATAACAATTCCATGGCAGTGAAATGCACCCCCCCCCCCAAAAAAAATAATAAAATCAACACTTTTTTTGGCAAAAACCTCCGAGGCTGAGCGTAAGTTTACATGCACATATGTGTCTCAGGCTCCAAGGCTGAGAGGGTTAAGATGCAACAATCAGCTATCTCCTGCCATCTGCTTTCATTCATCATTTGTGGTTTGCATTCAGTCCACATTAACCATCTCCACTCTGCTGTTAAACCTCATTCATCACAATTATGTACAGTACTTTGCTGCCACTCTTATCATCTTCTGTAGTCTAAAGGCAGACTTCATTTCCATACTAAAGGATGTTCTCCTTTAATGACAGTACGTTACAACTAATACTCTTTATAACTCTGTCTACCTAATTATCTACTGAAGAAATTTCAAAGTGTTAAACAGGGTTGCCAGGCTTATTTTTGCTCTCGCACTGAGGACTACCACTACCCCATTCATGATCAAATTACATTGACTTCCAGTTAAAGCTAGGATAGAGTTCAAAAGCTGCCTAATGACTATTAAGGCACTTATGTTTGGTGAACCTAGACGATTTTGCTTAGTAGTGATGATAGCTCAAGCCTTGAAGAGCCTAGTGCATTACAATAATATTCTTTTGCTGCCCAATCCTTTTCCTATACAGCAACCAGATTGCAAAATCAGTTGCCTGCATCCATAAAGCAGCTGACTTCTGTGGAGGCTTTTAAGAAACAACGTAAGACCTTTCTTTCTTTTGAAAGCTTATGATCCTGAAGAGGTTAGGATTGATTAATCGATTGTGGTAATTACATCCCTGGCAACACAACAAGCTTAGGTCATATGTCGCTGAATTAAAATTAAGGCTTAAACAACCAAGATAAAATTTAAATTTAAATATATAATACCCGGCACCAAGGAGAGGATGTCCCCTCCCACGTCACCCACTCCACCCCCCAGCAACAAAGAGAAATGATAATACCCACCTCCCCCCCCAACACCGGGAGAGGTGCAACGAAGATCTTTGAGAGTGGGGCACTCCACCAGGAGGTGTTGAACAGTCAATGAGACAAGGCAGTCATCACAATGTGGAGGGAGCGCCCTCCCCATTAAAAAACCATAACTCAGTCGTGTGCGGCTAATGTGGAAGCAGGCCAAATCAGTCTCTTTGCGGCATGACAGTCCCTGATATCCCTAGGCACCCGATGCAGGGTGGAAGTCGCGGAGCTTGTTTGCTACGACAACTTCCCACCTGCATTTCCAACTCGAGTAGATGGCAGCTCTTATTACTGATTTCATATCAGAGGCAGGTAGAGGGGAATGATGAGCAACAGGGTAAGAAGCAGATGCCTTCGCCAAAGCATCAGCATGCTCATTCCCCTTCTCCCCCAGCTGGGGCGGAACCCAGCAAAAACTGACTTTTCGGCCCTGATGTTGGATGAGAAAAAGCCACTGTAAAATATCTATAACTAAAGGATGCGGTGATGAGCCACTAGCTAAGGCCTGGAGAGCACTACGAGAATCACTAAAAATAGTAAAATCATTATGAGGTTGGGTAAAAATAATCTTGAGGGCAAATAAAATACCCAAAAGCTCTGCAGTAAATGGAGATGCCATAGTGGGGAGACTACGGGAAAGACCACCCCAAAACCCACCCCTGCATCTGACTTAGAGCATTTGGTGTATACAGGAATAGTCCCTCTATGAGACAAAGCATGCTCTAAAAGAAGAGAATGGACAACACAGGGAGGGAGAAAGTCCCTTCTTTCGTAAAATGCTGACAAACTTGAACTTCAAAGAGAAGCCACAGAGCGGCACTAGGGAACCACATGGGGCATATCTGAACAGGAGGAAGACAAAGAATTCTCACAACTTCTCTTACCCTAAAGCCAAAAGGTCGTGGGAGGCCTGGATGCTGAGTGTAGTGTGGGGACATAGTCTCATCAACTACACAAGTGTTGGTTACAGACTGTGGAAGACGGAGGAGGTGAAACCAACACTGGACCTGGAGTTACTGCCGTCAAAGATCAAGGGGTGGCTCATCAGCATCAACTAGCAGAATTGGGATTGGTGAAGACCTGAAGGCACCGGTCGCCAGGCGAACCCCAGCATGATGAATAGAGTTCAGTGTATTGAGTCTAGTCTCAGTGGCTGAGGAGTACACCTCAAAGTTCCTCAGTCAGCACGTCAGCACCCAATGACGTGTGCCCCAAGACTCTCAATAACTTGAGAACACGCTGGCAAGACTCTTTGAGGTAACAAACATGTGGCTGCCACATAAGCTGGTTCCCAAAGATAATGCCCAGGAAACAGGTCTCTGTGACACACCGCACATAACGACCATAGAGCTGTAGATCGGGATCTGGGTGAACACCTCGAAGGTGGCTGAAATGCATGGCAATGGTCTTCAAGGGAGAAAATTTGAATCCCTCCTCTGTGATCCAACGTGAAACCTTGTCTAGTGCAAGTTGCATGCGACTCTCAGCCACTGACATGCAGGAAGCTGCATACCAAATGGCCAAGTCGTCTACATACAATGAGATTGATACAACACCTGGAACTGATGTTGCTACCCCATTTATTGTGATGGCAAATACGGTTACACTCAAGACACTGCCCTGAGGAACCCCGTCCTCCCGAATATGTGGTGTTGACATTTCTGTGGCTACGCGGACTCTAAAAGTGCGATGTCCAAAAACTGACCTACTTTGATTTGTAAATTTACCTGCAATTCAAAATTGTATGGTATGCTTTCTCTAGGTCGAACAAAAAAACAAAACACAGACTAGATGCTCGTGATGAGCAAAAGCCTCACAACCAAGGACTCAAGATAATCAAGAGCATCTGTTGTTGAATGCATCTTCCAGAAGCCAGATTGATATGGTGAAAGAAGGGCATTCTTCTCCAGGTAGTATTGTATACTAATCACAAGTTGACCATCTTTTCTCACAGCTTGCAGATACAGGAGGTCAGAGTTATGGGGCAGTATTCCAGCGGGTGAAGACCCTCTTTTCCAGTCTTCTTGAAAGGTAGCACAGTAGCCTCCTGCCATGAGGCTGGGAAGGCACTGTCTCGCCAGATCCTGTTATATAGTTCCTATAGAAAGGTCTGTGCCTCAACTTGAAGGTGCGGAGCATTGAAAATGGGATATCATCGGGCCCTGGTGATGTATCTCCAGTGAGTAAGAGGGCAGTTCTCGTTCCTTTCATTAAGAACATGATGTTGTATGTCTTGCCACATCCCACTCCTAAATACAGGGTCCGTGACTCCTCTACTCTACTCACCCATTTAAATTGAGGATTGAGCTGCCATAGAAGACAAACCTGCACATGCTTGGCAAAAACCACTGCAACTTCTTGAGTGGCAGCAATTGAGCTGCCATCATTAGCTCTGAGAACTGGGAGGGGGGATTAGGTGAAAATTTGCCTGCTATTTTCTGCACTCATTTCCATACCTGGGATAAGGGAGTTTTTACATTTAGAGAGGCGACAGAAGAAGAAAAAGACTGGCGATGGGCATTCTTTAAAACTTGATGAGCTTGGGCTCTGTCCCGTTTGTATTCCACATGATAAAACTGTGTTCTATGACGCCGGTAGCAAACATTAGCTCTGCACCGCTCAATAACGGCTTGCCTGCACTCCTCCGACCACCGAGGAACAGGTCAGCAAGCTACACGACCAGAGGTCCGAGGAATGGAGCAAGGTCAGCCTATTGGAAGAGGCTGGTTAAATATTCAACCTCTTCATCTACAGAGGGAAATTCTTCAATACTCCTGTCTACCTTTGCTAGTTCCTTGAACAAGTCCCAGTCCACCTTGTCTAACTGCCAATGAGGAACTGTGGTGTCGGGGGGACTTCCGGGGAGGAAAGTAGGATAGGGTAGTGGTCACTTCCTCTGAGGTAGTCTGTTACTCTCAACTCAAAGTCCAGTAGACAGCCAGCTGAACACAGTGAGAGATCTAAGGCTGTAGTTGTGTTGGTCTGGACATGATAGTGGGTGATATCACCAGTATTTAATATACCCAGGTCCATTTCTTCAATTATCTAAGCTATCAAGTCACCCCTTGGATTAACTATTGTATCACCCCAGAGGGTATTCCTTCCATTAAAATCACCGAGGATGAGATAAGGAGAAGGAAGTTGATGAATTAATGAAGCCAAATCTTCCCTGGCAATTGGTGCACTGGGTGGGAGGTGAATGGAGCATAAAGTATTGTATAGGTACGTTGGAGGCGAATCTTGCAAGCTGTCACTGGCAATGGGAACGTGATGGATAATGGGCTATAGAGTACACCACACTTGTCCGAGACAAGGATGGCCATGCCCCCATGATGCGTCTGTTCTGGATTATAAGGAAAATAAAAAACTGAATAACCTCTGAGAGGGGGATGATCATAGGCACCAAACATTGTCTCCTGGAGACAAATGCATTGAGGGGAGATTTTGCTCAGGAGCAGCTGGAACTCTTCCCAGTTGGCTCTTAAGCCTCGACAATTCCATTGGACTATGGTAGCCAGGATTATTGGGGATCTAGGTAGGGGTAGGTGTGTGGCCCCTAACAGGCATTTAGGCTTAGGCTTAGTTTGTGTGCTGGAGCCTGGAGGATGCACCAGGAGTGTAACATGACGTGCATCTCTTACAGTCCCCTTGCTGAGGGGGGACGGCTTGTGTGGGGCTGGGCTTTTCTGTCCTCACCCAGGGTTGAAAGATGTGTCTCTGGCTTTGTGGCCACAGATAACCCAGATGTAGACCCATCTGGTGGACACACACGACAGGATTTAGGAAGTGTTACAACTTGAGGATATACGAACTGTCACTTTTTGTAATCTCTTTTTGTAGTAGGGGTATTTTGTTTTATTCTCAGATCTTGACTTTGTACAAGTAGTGTTGTGAGGGCAAGTGAATTCTTTAGAAGAACTGATGCTTTCGAGAAACAGAAGACCAACTGTTATTCTTATTAGGAATTAATCAAAATTCTGAATATCACAAAAGATAAATTCATTTGTTCATCACTATTATCACCGTTTTAAGGCCCTTTTTCATGCTTGTGTTGGTTAGCCATGATTACCTGATATCATGGTATCCCAGTTACCACCAGGCAATACTGAAGGAAATTTTACAGCTGGATGCCCTTACTACTACCAAATCACTTCTACAAAGTGGGAACTGGGCATTATAAGTAGGACTTCTGGGCACCCGAGTTAATTAAAGGTAAAATTTTGATCCAGCTACTGTCACCTTCACATCAAACAGAGGAAGTACAGAGCAAAAAAAGATCTTCTGATTTGTCCTGGGAAGATATTGGAAGCATACTGTGTTGTCTAATGGTAGACCCTGCTGTCATATGGCATCACAAAAATTGTGACCAAGTCCCAGGTTGCTGATCTGACTTTCTGCCTCATTTACACACAGTTGCAGGGTCTCAATTGTTTCTCTTACTTTGATAACACAACACAACATACATATATCATTTCTCACTATTGATCTTTTTATTTATGGTCCTTTTATTATTATTATTATTATTATTATTATTCTTATTATTATTATTATTATTATTATTATTATTTGCCCAGGCCATGATGAGGTCACTGACCCATGCTGGTGGGATATATATATATATATATATATATATATATATATATATATATATATATATATATATATATAAAAAAAGTAGTACCAGTTTTACTAACTGCATATACTGTACTGTAAATATAACAAAGTTACAAGATTGTTTCCCTCTAATTACTACAACTACTGTACTGTAATACTTATATGAAAAAAAAATTACCAGACATATTAAATCACAAGAAAAATCATAATACCTACCTAATGAGAACACTAAGCTGGGCACAGCACTTGGTGAGGTACGAGTTCATATTATCTGTATGACTTAAGCATGGCAGAGTAGCTGTTAATGCTGCCTGTAAGATAATAGTTCTCTCTTCCACATTTAACTCGGGTTCCAGAGCTCTATGACACAGTTAAGGATATTACACATTTTTAAACAGAGATAACACACAGTAATTTTAAATAAGCAATATTATTTTGTTTCCTAGAGATTTTAGGTCAGGTTATCGAACATGTGGAAAGAGTGGTGGAGAAAATGTTAAAGGAGAGAATGGACATTAGTGAATAGCAGTTGGGGTTCATGTCAGGCAAGGGAACCCCTGAGGTAATATTTATGGCCTAGTAATTGCAAGAGAAATATCTAAGGAACGAAAGAAAGCTGTACTGTACAGCAAATACCCCCAATAATGAACTTCTCAATCCTGAATATTACCAATAAAAAGCATCTCTTTTGTCATCTATAACTGTAGATTCAGCCAGTAAGATCCAGTACAGTATTTGGAACATTTTCCACTATTTACCACATGGTCAGTTGGTACACGTTGGACCTTGCTCGACTCAATGTGGCAACTGGCACTGTGTACAGGATGATACCAAACAACACACTTCGCTTACGTAAGTGTTAAAGTGTTACACGGACAAGTAATTCCTCTAAGCACATTTTATTAAAACTACTGAACAGTAATATTTCTGTTAGCTAGAATCCCTCAATCCCGGAACTCTTCAATAGCCGGAATTGAAATTTGCTCAGAATTTTTCAGGAAATTTTTCTGAATTCCGGGTGTGGGAAGAAATTCTAAGGTTGAAAATCAGGTGCATTTTCTGAAAATTCCCAGAAAAATTCTGGAAAACCTTCACACATTTTTATTTCTGGGTCTAGGAATAAATTTTCAGGGCATTCCGAAAGATTTCATCAAGTACAAACCCATCCCCACATGCCAGGTGCATGGGTGGCCCAGCCGCTTGGATCACTTACTTCATATTCTGCTGCTATTGTAGAAGGTTGTTCCCTCGCTAGCTGCTGTTTTTGTGTACAATTTATGTTGTGCAGTGCTGTACATTATTGTACCAGAACAAAATCAGCCAAGAATTCAGTGTTAAGAACGTAAAAAGTGATTACAGTTACGTATACTATACTGGACATTCAATAAGTGGGAAACACTGGAGCACCTTACCATTCGTCTTTATTCAAGACATCTTCAGGTCATGAGACCCACTAATCCCCCACCCCGACAATGGGTGACCTGATATTGCATCAGGTCAGTAACATGACCCACTAATCTCCCACCCAACTTCCATCGCAAGTGTTAAGACATGATTACAGTTAAGCACTGCAGTCAGCTGAGTGAACAGTGTCTGCTGGTTAGTACAATATATACAGTATAGTACAGGAAGTCCCCGACTTCGAACACCCGCCGGTACAAACGGGGTTGAACTTGAAATTTACAGCATTTTATTTACCTGATGACTTAAAGTTTTTACTTTCATTGACTGTATTTTGTCATTCTATTTCTTCTTTTGTCTTAAATTGAGTAATTTTAGATGTATATAAGGACTTAGGCGATAATATAGTAGGATTTTAAACATTGTTCTGTAAGTATGGTATGCACATAGCATGTGTTCCAACTTATGTACAAATCCGACTTAAGAACGTCCTCAGGAACGGAACCCATTTGTAACCCAGGGACTACCTGTAGTACAGTACAGTACAGGGTGGTATACAGAATTTTGTTTACAGTGTGAACAATAATGTACTTGTACAGTGGTGTTTGTGTAAATAAATACAGCTCCTGCAAGTTGCATCGTTTACTCGTGGAAATTTTCCTGTGAAGCATGGAAAATACCACTTGTCTTTACTGTAACACACAGCTCCAGTCACGCCTGTATCATATAAATCTTTTGTTTTTTTAAAATACAGTATACTGTACTGTATTTTAGGGCATATAAGACACACTTTTTTGTCTGAAAATGGCAAAAAAAAAATCAGCCTGCATCCTATGAGCGAAGTTGCGGTCTGCCATAAGCCAATGAATTCCCCAGTTGCTGTCTCCAGTCGGTTAAATTCTACCTAACCCAACTCCAGAATTAAAAAAATATGTTATTACTTACTAAAACATATTACTCTGTATTATTATTATTAATTAAATTTTGGAGGGGTAAATATAAAAGCTCGATTTATAACTACTGTACTGATGATAACCTGAGTTGATTAACATACGTATGGCAGACACCCAACTCTTCAGAGGTAGCTAACCAATAACCATTTCTGAACGCTTTCAATGCTATACATGCAACATTTATTTTTAAATCTACAAATACCTGACACATATGAAAATTTACATATAACTTTCTTTTCACAGTTGCGTCTGTTAATATCGATGGCAGCATTGTAGCCAGGTTAGACTCGTCACTATAACCAGCAGGCTACTGGTGTTATGGTTCTTTTTTATCTTGCATTTTCAGGTAGATATACATAACTTTCTTCATTTATTTTTACTCAGTTACATGCACACACCATCCTACATACATATCGTGAAAAGTAAAAGGGAATATAAATTTCTTTGCACACAAGTTAGCTGTCACACTGGGGGAGTGGGAGGAGGTGGGACGTGTGGGGGGGAGCATTTATAGGGAATCAGCAAAGGTGGCATAACACCATCTGTGAGGGAATTACTACACCATGTCAGGTCCCTCATAACACCATCTGTGAGGGAATTACTACACCATGTCAGGTCCCTCACAACACCATGTGAGGGAATTACTACACCACGTGAGGTCCCTCATAACACCATCTGTGAGGGAATTACTACACCACGTGAGGTCCCTCCTAACACCATCTGGGAGGGAGTTACTACACTACGTGTTTGCTGTTCAACACCTACATTAATCTGTATGTTCACTGTATATTTCTTTACCTTTCTCTAATGAAGGCTTTTGTTAAACCACCAATCTATGTAATTAGTCATTTATGTCCAATGTATATTTTCAGCCTTCAGGCTGCAGAACTTTTTCAATAAACAGTTAATTATTATTATTATTATTATTATTATTATTATTATTATTATTATTATTATTATTATTACACACACAGATTTACATTTCTTCATTTATTTTTATTCATTTACATGCACACACCATACTAAAAGAAGCGTAAAAGAAATAAATGACCTAAGTGCAAACCTGTACTGTACTAAATGATTACGGGACTAAAATTTTTATGTCTAGCGCAAATTATAGCATGCTTATATTCAAATTAATCACTATCTTACACGTATCCCAGCAATGTAAATTATATTCTCCCAGGTCATTTCACTGGCATTTTATAAGAGAAAAGCTTAGTCACTCTTAAGGACTGATAAATAAACACACAAGAGACTTTTGGCTCCAACTGTCAAACATATCACCTCACCTCCCCCTCCCTCCCTCTCCCCCCATCTGCCCAGCCAAGGTTTTAGGCTTACAGTTTTTATCTCATATAATATCACAGACTAAAGTTAGAATATAATTTGCATTGCTGGAATCCTTGCAAGACAGCGAATAATTTGAATATAAACATCATATATTTTGCACGAGATACAAATTAATCACCTGTATCACATTACAGTAGTGATTTAAGAGTTCTAGTGTACATGTACGTATATATAGTGATTGAAGGGCGATTTAGAGGAATTTTAGGAGTGTTTCTGACTTTATGCTTTTTTGGCTTTACTTTGTATCTACTTTTCTGTGAGCTGGAACCAATTACCCAATATCCCATTGAAATAATGGATTCGGTTAACAAAATTTTCGGTTAACGAACGACTCTGTTGAATGAATTGTGCTCGTTAACCTAGGGACCACAGTATTTTGATGTTTAGATTCGAAATAGGCTATACAGTGGGGTATGCTATAACAAACGTAATTGGTTCCAGAATCTCGTTCGTTATAGCATTCGTTCGTTATAGGATTAATCCGTTCCAGGCCCCCAAATACAACCGCTTAACACTGAAAAAATTCTGTGGAAAATGTAAAAAATACGGTACTTTATCTTACCTTAGTGTTATTCAGCATGCAGGTACCCCTAAACATTGGCACATCACTATCACTTCCACTGGGAGTCTTGGCTTTAAGGTCCTCAAACAAGTGCTTAGCCTTCTCACAAATTATAGCTTCACTAATGTTACCACCTGCCATTTCTTTCTCCTTTATCCACACTAAGAGTAAATTTTCCATCTCTTCAATCACATTACACCTTGCTTTGCTAAGTCTAAAGATTCCCTTAGCCACTTGCACAGTTTTTAACTCCTCTTTATTCTTCAAAATCGTACATATAGTCGATTTAGCCATCCCATATTCATCACTAAGTTTCGCAATGCTTCTTCCATTCTCACGTTTCTTTATAATTTCTTTCTTAGTTTCAAGGGTTATTAGCTTTCTCACTCGCTTTGGACGACTCATTGTTACAATTGTATACTTGTATAACAAAATAGTTATACAAATAACGCGAATTTCCACATCAAAAGACGAAATTTCAACAATAACAGTGGTGCACTGGCTACACAATGAGACAAAGATGGCGCCTGACGCTCTTGTTGTGGGTCGCGGTACAACAATATTCATGCGCCAGGCGAAATAGTCCGGTATTCATCCGCGTTCGTTGTAGGAGTTGCGTTCGTTATAGCATTCTCAATTTTATAGGTAAAACCGTTCGTTATAGGAATATTAGTAGTAGGATCCATTCGTTATAGCATACCCCACTGTATAGGGTAAATTTTAAGTTTTGGTCATCCTGTACTTAGACATGAAAACTGTGTTTTTTGCTGATGGTTTGCGATGTGTTATGAACGATTTAGACCTTCATTTCTATCGGAAATCATTAGTTTTGAGTTGCTACCCCCCCCCCTTACCAATGTATGTTAAGCTAACCTTATAACTCATCATACCCTAACCTAACCTAACATATGATCTATATTTTCTTATGCGAATGAAAAATGGTTTGCGACAGAAATCCTGTAGAGATAATGTCTCTTATTGTTTAAAGTACTTAATCCCATAGTTAGATCACAGAGCTTTTCGCAGTCTCGTGACTTATTAGCATCTTTAACCCTTATTTTTTACACTTTTTGGCCCAATTTATTAAAAAAATATATCATTACCATAGTGAATTTTGTTTTTGTTTTTTCCGACTTAATGTGTTGCTCAATCATGCTCAGTGATAGTTCCTCTTGTGCAGGGCAGCTTGATGTGATGCATTAAAGCATAATAAGATTAGTGATGGACCAGCAAACAGTGGTAGAGACTTGAACTTCCTATGCTAGACATTCTCTACCATCCTCAACACAGGTAAATAAGTCTCAATTTATGCTTTACATTGCTTATTTAAGGCTTATTATGCTTGCTTTATATGTCTGCTTTATTTTCTTGCTTGACAGTGTGTACAACAATGATATATCAAGGGTAGATGGTTGCTTTTGGAGAGAAGCTGATCACTAACTCCTTGAATTTATGTTCTTATGGGATTAATTGGTTCAATAACCGTTGGTTCACTAACCAATGACTTTTCCCAGTCCCTATGTGTCGGCTATTGGCGTACACCTGTAATTCCAAGATTCGGCCTTAAGTTTGTGAGTTTATCCACCTTACATTCTATGCAGTGCTTTTCACCTACACAGAGGGCGAGTCAGCAGTTCAGTCCACAACCACACACACATTGTAATGTAATAAATTGCTTTTTATAGGTTGGCTTGGCAAATTAACATTAGTCACGCACGGATCATTTTTATCATCTATTAAGTTTTTAATTTTTAATCACACTATTTTATTGAGTTATTTGGTTGATATACTGTAAGTTAAATAAAAAACGTGGCAACTTTACAGAGGGTGGCAGGCCGCACAGACTGTGATTGTGAAAAATGTATTTCGCTTATACCTGTACATAAATATTTATGGCACTTGATGCAGCTACTGAATTTTTGTATTTTAAAATATACAAGCATGAAGACAGTATTTACTTGAATTTATTATAAATACCAAGAGTTAAGAGGTGTATCAAGTGCAATAAATATTTGTAAGCAGGGTACATGTCGCCATTTGTAAATAGGCACACGCAACCCAGTCACACAGCCATGACGTTAACACCACCACTCCACACCCCTGACAGAGAGATGTTTATTGACTTATATGCCTGATAGGTATTATAGTTAGCCATTAAGCGAGTAGGAATAGAATGATAGAGGTGGCAATACACAATGCTCATATACTGTATATAGTTGTGTTAGAAGCTAGTTATCTCAATTTTCACTCCTGGGGGAACCTCAACCATACTTATGGCTTAACCATGCAAGTGAACTGCCCCTCAATCACAGTAAAATGATTGTTTACTGAAATATATTTCATAAATCATAGTTTTCAAAACAAATTCACTAGAAAATTATTTATATTTTAAATGTTACTAAGAAAATTCACTGTAGTCATGGTAAAAAAAAGGATACACAAGATCTCTCAGTGCCTGAAGAACACTAGCCAGAACAGGGTGAGGGATGTTATCCATCTTTGCAGTGTTGACTAGGTGAGTAATGAGCAATGGGCGCTGACGTAGCTTAAAGTCTGGGAGTCGGATAAGGGCCCTGGCAATATTACTTGTTGCTTGAAGGACAGCCTCATTTACAGTAACACTCTGTGAATATTTATATAAATTATTAAACATTAAGGCTTCATTTTTCTGGCAAGACAACTGAAACTTATTGTCAAAAGCTCTACTTGACCTGTACTCTCTAGTCTAGAGTAATTTCAAACTAAACTGAAACTGTGATTTTAATTACATTTCCTTGGCACATACTCCACTGGCTAAGAATGCCTTAAGTATATGATAAACCTTGAACTATAATTCTAAAACTTACTAACTAAATTATTTTATATAACAAAAACTTGTGGGTAGACTATATTAAACCAATGCATTTCTTGGAAAGTTACTGTACTTGTAACCCTCCTCCTTTCTCTTGCCTATTTAAGGGTAGAATTAGCTCTCATGAAGCTGCTGATCTAATTTGAGAAATTACTGTATGTAAAATATCCAATGGTTTGGTGCACATGGCATAGCTAAAATTTTTGTAACAATGCTGTAATCTATGCATCAATTTTAACAAACAGGCACCAATTTGTGTATTTCCAAAATTGTAGCCACATAGTATGTTGAGCATGGATCTGAATATACTGTATTTCCACTCCTGCAGAATGAATTTGATAATTCAAAATCATTAACATGAGTTTCTGGATGAAAACAATGTATCCACTATTTGTTTACTAATGCTCATGGATAATTAAAAAAAACACATAATAAGGATGTGAACGTAATTTACCATGTGCATCCATTTTTCAGGAAAGGTAGTGGATGTTTTTTAACCAAATCACTGGTATAGCTAAAGTAAGCAACATATACTGTTTCTACCCTTGGAAATATTATAACCAAGTACTGTACTGTACTGTACTGTACTGTACTGTACTGTACTGTACTGTATAGTTTAAGTTTTAGAAAGGTGAAGCTGTATGTAAGAGTATAATAAGTTACACTTGTATTTTGGGGGTAGAAATTTTAATCAAATACTATAAAGAGACAAGTTAATACACTAATGCACCTTAATTGGTTACTGCTAAAAAATTAGTAAATAACCCTATCTTCTCATGGTGACCTCATTAGTACACCCTGAGAGAGTGCTACCTAGGTGTAGATTATTTCTAATTTACCACTTCGTGTAGGTTATGTATCTAAGCTACTGTGCCGAGTAGCATTTATATATGTAATTACGTGGCAACACTGCACGTGTTATGTGGCAACATTGCCCCAAGGCTGCCATATGGCAAGGCAGTCTCAGTCTGACTCTGTGGGCCGTGCATGGCACACGCTAGTCACCACTTGTATTTCTCCTATCAGTTAATAAATGGACTTCAGTGTTACCCGGTGTTTCCCTACCCATCACTGCCTTCTTCAGGGAACACTTGGAACCTTCATTTTTGGGCTTGGGTTGGCGGCAGCACTTGTCGTAGTGTCCATAGCGACCGCAGGCCTGACACTTGTTGCCTCATGCAGGGCACCTGTCTGTGTTAGACCAGTGGCCCTTACGGTCACATCCACGACACAGTGCGTCGGCGGCTGGGCATGTCTTGGGGCTGTGCTGCTTTCCACAGCTGCCACAGGAAGCACTAGGCGGAGGCGTGGAAGAACGTGCGGCAGCCTTCACGTTGTTGGCCGCCTTCTTACCCTTCTTGTACTGTGAGATAGCTCTCACAGCAAGTGGGGCCCGTTAGGCAGAGGTGGCGGACATGGTGGCCTCGTATGACCAACATTCAGTCACTACCACCTGGAGTGTGGAGGAAGCGTCCAGGGGAATGAGTTGCTGCACCAACTCTTCGTGCCTGACACCTGTCAAGATCCCGTGCTTGATCCAGGCTTCCTCACATTCCCGGCTGTGCGCCTTGCAGACGTCGATCTCCTCCGACAAACTCTTCAAACGTACAAAAAAGTCGTCAAAGGATTCATTCTCCGCCTGCTTGCAGCTGGTGAAGGCGCGGCGACGCAAAGCCTCATTATTCCGACCTTTAACGTGCTCCTGCAAAAGGTCGAGCACATTCGTCACTGAAGACGTAGAATCGGGAGGCACTTGCAACGTGTGCTCCAAAACTCTCTGGGTCTCCAGCAACAAACACATCCGCAGTTGGATGAGCTGTTTGTTTGGAGGCATGCTGTCAAGGTCCACCATCGTGGAGTAATCTGTCCACCACCGCCTCCACTCACGAAAAAGCTGAAACGTGACGTCTGGTGAGAGGGCGGGTGGGGGTTGAACAGATGCCTCGGGAGCTGTTGGAGTAGCAAGAGTACCTGGAGGACGCTGGTGTAGTGGGGGAGGGAGGGTACTGGCGCCTTGGTGCATGATACCTGCGAGTGAGGGAGGGTGGGTTAGCGCCAGGGTCGCCAATAGTGCATCAAAACGCGACTTTTCCTCCTCTCTTCGTGTCTCCTCCCTCTGAAGTTCCATCTCTCTGCGTCTCTCGTCCCTGTCATCCATCCACCTCAGAATTGTGGCAATGTCCGTCGCTGGAGGTGGAGGATGAGAATCTGCGCCCGGTGGAGGGGAAGGTGGTGGGGAGTCGTGTCTCCCATCTTGACGTTGTCCCTTCTTACCGCCCATCTTAGTATGCTTGAACTGCGCTGTTTAGTATATAAAGTGACGCCTCATCAGCTCGAACCACATATATTTGACATAAACAGCGCAGAAATAACGCATAGAGTCCACTATTCTGTCCGTGAGTGCGTGCGTGTGTGTGTCTCAGAGACCAGATCGTGGTGGCCTTGGTGGCTGGAGCCGCTGCGGAGGCGAGAACGTTAGTGTCTCCCCGGATGTCACACGAGAAGGGTGTACGCCTGCGTGCTCCGTGGGTACCACAAAAAAGAGGCCAATGCTCAACTCTCAGCTCTAGACACACTAATACACTGACACTAACACTGCCACCGTCACTAAAACGCACTGTGACGGCACAACACTGCACGTCACGGCGAAACACAACGCAACACAACACACTAGTCGACGCACACATCGCCGGCTAACTGTCCATTGTTCACACACTTGTAAGTCCACAGATCCTACTCACTGCGCCATGAAGGTTCCAAGTGTTCCCTGAAGAAGGCAGTGATGGGTAGGGAAACACCGGGTAACACTGAAGTCCATTTATTAAAGGATAGGAGAAATACAAGTGGTGACTAGCGTGTGCCATGCACGGCCCACAGAGTCAGACTGAGACTGCCTTGCCATATGGCAGCCTCGGGGCAATGTTGCCACATAACACGTGCAGTGTTGCCACATAATTACATATATAAATGCTACTCAGCACAGTAGCTTAGATGCATAACCTACACTTCGATGGGTAATAGAAGCTACTGGCTTGTTTAATCCCCTCACTGTTCATAGAAAGTCTTGGTAATTTAGTGTTTAGTTATCATATACTGTATTTACCAAGCTGACATGTACAATGATTCTATTAACAATTATATATTAATAGTGTTACTAAGATCAAAATTATAAATGGTACTGTACCTTGTTACTGTTGATGATATTAAGAAGATGGAGCATGATGGGGCCATCTACTCGGTTACCAACTACATTAGGAGGAGCTAGAGTGGATATCTGGCCTAAACACAGCACCAAACTTGCCCGCACCCAGGATGACTCATCAGTTCGTGTGTCTTGCTGTTAAAAGGGAAACACATTTTCAATAAAGAGATTCTTTTTTATTTTACTCTCAATCAAATTTTGATAAATAATCTTCAAACTTTAATATTTTTCCTTACATCTTCTTGGAAACACAAATTGTATTCAAATGGTTCTCTATGTAAGCAGTCAGTGATTTGTGTCCAATTATGTAAGTTTGGGGGATATGAACCAGCAAGTAACTAGGGGGCAGTGAATGTAATTTTGTATTACTCTGCTGTACAGTCAGTGCCAGCTTAACATACATGATACAATCTTGAAAACTTCTTATATCTAGATGGTCCACCCCCTTGTAACATTCTTCAAGAATGAGGTGCTTCCCTGCCTGGAGCACTGTCTGGTCCTCGAGATATGCTAGGGACTGTCATGTGATTGAAAATGTCCAAAGGAGGACCATCAGGCTGGTGCCTGCACTCTGGCACCTCAGTTATCCAGAGAGATTAGAACACTTGCAACTGCCTAGCTTATACTACAGATGGGCAAGGGGTGACCTAATTGAGGTGTATAAACATCTCAAATGACAATACTCAGTCGTGTCCATACCTGGAACTGGTAGACACCCACCACACAAGGGGTCACAGCTCAAGGTTGAAGAATTCACAAGTCCAGAAAACTGTTAAGGGCAAATTTTTTCAGAGTGAGCATTGTGAACTCTTGGAACAACCTGCCAGAAAGTTTTGTGACGGCACCAAGTGTGAGCTCTTTCAAGACCAGACTTCACCAACACTGGCGCAGGTTCAGATACATTCAGGAGCCAGTATATGCCCAGTACTTGCTAACAGTGTGTAACAGAGACATGACCGACTGCCCTGGAGGCTAACGAATGGATCATTGGTGAAGAGGATAAAAGTAAGAGTAAATTATTAAGTAGACATTAATTTCCCAGAGAAAACTATGTCATCAATTGAAATACATCCCAGATTCCCTTAATTTTTTATATCACGAATTGCCTCTGATGATAGCAAATAGGGTCACATTGCTGGAAACCGTAACATAAATCGATTTAATGCACATCGGGAGCCTTTTAACATGAGTTTCAATGGGGTAAGTTCCTGGCCTGTCTGACACAGACATGTATCACAGAAAAAGCTATCCTACATGAATTAAATAAATACAAAAAATTGAATAACACGTACCACATGAATAATAACAAGCCTGCCGCTTAATAATGTCTAATTTCGTCTGCAGACAAGGTCTTCTCAAACCCTTGGCATTCCCAAAGGCATGAGATTCAGCAAGATGCTTGCTAGCCATTTCCAAGTTATTAATCACTTCAGTTTCCAAAACAGAGCGAATTCTGAACGATAGTATTTTCCTCTCACTAATAACGGCAAATATCACATCGCTCACAAGGTTACACAACAATAAGATTGGTTACACGAGTGAGGGCAGGTGTGATCACATTGGAACAAAGCGTGAAAATGAAATACGCAGGGTGCGCACAGCGGCCATCATGAATTTGTCATGTGATGGGAGAGATGTGCTTCCCACATCAGCAAGTTTATCTTCCTGATAGCTATCATCAACGTGGAATTTGCCTAATGTAAAGCGAGAGGGCATTAAAAACTAACTAACATTAATGCGGATTATCATAAATCTGATAATTGTATATCGTGGAATACCTGTAAATCTCAATGTTTCTCAATACAGTATTTAAAATCATTTCAACCATTTTCACATTTTTTTTAAACTGCAAAATTAAAAAAGGTTAGTTTGAAATGTTAAGTGGTTTAAGTGAAGTACAATACCATTTATGTGAGAAAAATGCTATAAAATTAATTCCTGCGATTGTAACACTAACTAATAACATCAAGCTTAACCCTTTAGCCACGATGTTTGACTGCAGTCTAATGAATTTCTATTCACACTGGTCAAATTGTTTGACTTTAGTCCATGGCTGCCAGGTTGAATAACTGGTACCATTATAAAATGTACAAGTATCCTCCCTTTAGCAATCAGGAAATCCTGAAAAACCAGTCTTAAAAATTAAGTGATTGGATCATTAAAAAGAGGTAAAACAAGGAATAATATCCTAAACGAGGAATAATATCCATGGAGATAGCACGTAAATTGTGTAGCCCAGCCTTGGACTTGCCACCCAATAGTGGGTGAGACTGAGCTGTGAGCTATGTTACGTGTCATGGGTTGCATTGGGTCTACTCATGCAACCTAACTCCAATGTTTGTTTTAAGGGAGATAAGACACCAGGTGAGCCGTGACTCCGTCATCACTATTTCAAAAGTGGTTATGTGAGCCAGTCTGTGGGGGGGAATTGAGACAGTGTTGTATTGTCCATCGTGTTCCACGCTCCAAAACCACATTTTTTGCCAGTACAGTGGTCCCTCGGTTAATGAGCACAATTCGTTCCAAAAGGTCGTTCGCTAACCGAAAATTTTGTTAACCGAATCCATTGTTTCAATGGGATATTGGGTAATTGGTTCCAGCTCACCGAAAAGTACATACAAAGTAAAAACAAAATGCAGTAAAGTACACTTACTTTGAGGTGTGTATGTAGAAGGCTCCTGGTTGATGATGATGATGGGAAGTAGAAGTGGGGGTGGAGGAGAAGGGAGAAGAGAAGGAAGTGGGGATGGAGGAGAAATCACTCCATGCTTGATGCCGTCATTTTACCATTAAAATTTTGAGTTCACTAGGTGTGATTCAAGATTATTTTCTTTAAATCAACACTGCACTGCACTATATATTGTCAATATGTTAAATAAATTTCAGAATGACCAATAATTGTACTGTAAAAACGTAAAAATACTCTGTGTTCAAGAGACCCACAAGCAAGATGCTTCCTCCACTGAACAGAGAGACAAACTGACGCCTTGGTGGGTGAGTGAAGTGGCTGATGGGCGCACCAAAAACTAGTTCCCTGTACTGCAATTATGTTAAATACCTGTAAGTGTTAAAATGACTAATAATTTTAATATAAGACTTGGAAAATTATTGAATAGTACAACCTTCTTGATATTTACTCCAATGGAAACGAATTTAAGCCCTAGAACCAATTACTGTATTGGCGGACTAATCTACCAGCCGATGAGCAAGCCAAAACATGTTGAAATGTTTTTGTAAGAATTTCGTTAATCAAATTTTTGTTCGTTAACCGAATTGATGATTCTTATGGAAGGTAATTCGTTAACTGAAATTTCGTTAACCGAGGGACCACTGTATGCCCTAAACCATGGATTAAGTCAAGACCACCTCCTCCCCTGCCTTAAGGGAACATGATACTACACAGAGTCCTTTACCATGACACCGTCCTGTGGACTGTCAGTGAAAAGTAACTGTGTGTGTGCCAACCCAAGGTTTGTTATTCCATAAGAATCTTCAACTCGATTAACGAAAAAAATTAGGTTAACGAAATCTTTACGAAATCGTGTCAACATGTTTTCGCCTGCTCACCAGCTGGAGTATTAGTCTGCCAATACAGTAATCGGTTTTAGGGCTTAAATTCGTTACCATTTGAGTAAATATCAAGAAGGTTGTACTATTCAATAATTTTCCAAGTCTTATATTAAAATTTTTAGTCATTTTAACAACTATTTAACATAATTGAAGTACAGTACAGTCTGCATTTACGCGGTTTTTGTTTACATGTTTGGTCATTTACGCGGCACATTGCCAGAATGAAATGTTTTAATTACGTGGTAAATTTCATCATTTACGCGGGTGAAGTATAATTTGTTTATTTACTGAAGAAATTTGTTTTTAGCTCATAAAATTCATAGAAATTACCCGGCCGGAATATAAGTTACATTGCTGGAATTCTTATAATATGGTGATTAATTTAAATATAAACATCCTAAAATTTGCATTAGACTTACAAATTTTAGATGTACAGTATTACCCCGCTTTACACAGTTTCACTTTCCGTGATTTCTCATTTACACGGTACCTTGCTAGAACCCTAGAACCGGACTTTCACTTGGACTTTCACTTTCCGCGGTGCATCTACTCATATACGCGGTGAAGTATAATTTTTTTTTTATTTAGCTCATAAAATTCATACAAATTACCCGGACAGAAAATAATTTACATTGCTGCAATTCTTACAATATGATGATCATTTTGAATATAATCATTATGGATTTTGCATTAGACATACAAATTTTAGATCGAATGTAAAAATTTGGTTAACACAAAGCAAATATTATATCCTTTGTGCAGAATATATGAAGTTTACATTCAAAATATTCCCTGACCTGCAAGGAATCCAGAAATGTCAATTATATTATCCTAACTTTAGTCTGAGTTATTATTTATTACTTAAGTTAAAATCTAGTGTTTTCACCCAATCATTTCTCAGAGAGGTAGGAGCTAGTGAGCTGGAAAGAGGGGGGAGGGGGATTTGAGTCCATTATTTGAATGGACATTAACCTGGCGACTGTATTTCTCTTAAATATTAATTGTGTGAGCATACCATCATAAAATTTAGATGTTATTTTTACTACAACATATTGTGTCGGAAAAGGTGGAGTTTGGGGGTCGGGCCAATCTCTATTGGAATTAATCCCATATGTTCTGTTGTTCACTTTACGCGGTTTTCACTTTCCGCGGTACCCTGTGGGTTCAATTGACCGCGGCGTAAATCGGGGTACTACTGTAATTTAAGAATTTTATTAGAAAGAGCAAAAATTTTATCTTTTGTGCAAAATATATGACGTTTATATTCAAAATTTTGGCAGTCTTGCAAGGAAGCCAGCAATGTCAATTAAATTAGCCTAACTTTAGTCTGAGGTATTATTTATTACTAAATATGTAAGCCTAGTGTTTTTCCCAAACATTTTTCAGAGAGGGAGGAGCCAGTGAGCATAGGAAGATATGGGAGGCGGGGGGGGGAGTTGAGTCCATTATTTGAATGGACATTAACCTGGCGACTGTATTTCTCTTAAATATTAATTGTGTGTGCATACCATCATAAATTAAGATGTTATTTTTACTACAATGTAGGTATTGTGTTGGAAAAAGTG